AAGCGTGCCACGGGTCACCGCTCAGCAACGTGAACTCAAGTGACCGACAGTGACAATGGTTTAAAGAACAATGGTTCTTTGGATCAATGTTGTCGACTAAATAACTGGCAAACAAAGCATAAAGAGATGAAACCAGGAAAGGTCAGACTTTTATAGTTTAACTGTAAGACCACCAGAGTTGTGAAAAAATAAAGACAGTGTTTCAATGGGGAAGGTCACCATTGGTCAGTGTGACCTCAAATGACCTAAAAAGACAATGTACAACAAACTGTGCAACTTGGGTTTTGCAGGCTCCTCCAAAAAAGCTTAAAGCTAAATCAGCAAGAGTTTCCTTGTAAAGATTGAGATTGGAGATAATGACAGGCATGTTTTGACAAGTCTGTGGTATGTGTGATTTTAAAATGTTTACAGCAAATCACCTGGGTAGAGGACGCGCTCCACCCTCGGATCAGCCTCCAGAAACTTGGCAACAGCCAGGGTGTTCTTAAAGTGCCGCTCCATCCTCAGGTGAAGGGTCTTCAATCCACGGTTACACAGGAAACAGTCAAAAGGAGACGGCACACTACCCAGTGCTGACGCAGAGGCGGGATCACATGAAGAAAAGGAAAATCCAAAGAGGTTACAAACAAAGCCTCCCAAAATCCAGATCAACAAATACTTTCCTACTGAAGAGAATTTAAACTGGTCAGAACTTGAGCCTCCAAATACAATGTGTGGCATGGAGGCATATAAAGAGGTTTATTGTACATTTCCATAAAAAACAAAAACACTTGATGCACTCTTTGTATTTAATCACCATTTTGCAGGAACTTCAGTCGCTCGTACAGATCCTCCCTGTTCATGGAGACGAGTCCCATCACCACATCGCTGTGGCCTGCCAGACAGATTATACAACAATAAAGAGAAGTCCAAAACACAGAGTTTATACTGGAGTTGACTTTGTTGCTCTTCTGTGTTTGAGCTTGTGCGTCTTTGCTATGTGATGATGGTGGGGCAAAACTAACTGAGTGAGCATCAAATTCAAACACCTTGACAAAAGTTCTAACTTCACTGCTGATCCCTGCATGTGTTTCTCTGTTTTAATCGTAGAGACAGGCAACGTGAGCATTTTAGCAATGCTTTACAATTATTATTCATTTAAGCTTAAGATCTTATTTCACCCATTTCAGACTTACTTTGGTACATTTTGGAGACATTTTAGGACTAAAGTAATTAATCCCTTCTAGCGTGCAACAGATCATGTGACTAAGCTCACAAAATGTTTGCATCGACTTCTAATGCAAATGTTAGGTTAGTAAAATCGAACCTACCATTCATGTATTTGGTGGCTGAGTACATGCAGATATCAGCTCCCAAAGCCAAGGGGCGCTAAAGGTGCACAAGAGAAACAAGAGTAAATCATTTCCTGAATTATTCCAGGATGAACTGGAATTTGATTGCAGGAGGTTATCGAACTGTTGTTACACAATCAACAGCGCACAAAATGCACCGTGGGTCAAGTTTCACCTGGAAATAGGCCGACATGAAGGTGTTGTCCACGACCACCACTATGTCTTTGTTGTGCTCGTGGACCAAGTCGGAGCAGGCCTTGATGTCCACCACCTTCATCATGGGGTTGGTGGGTGTTTCAATCCACACCAGCTACGTGAGCAAAGAGATGACGTATAAGTCAAACCAAACATGGGGGCGGAGGGAGGGGTGGGTGTAACTTCCAGAAGAGAAATCACTCGAACTGCTGATTCACAATGACCGTTTCAGTTAGCTTAAAGACACGCCCTATTAAGCAACATACTAGTCAAACCAGACACTGGTACAACAGCATGTGTTTATTTTGCAGATAAAATGGAAACATCTCCTAAAAGGTGCACCCAAACACAAACAAACAAACAAACAAACAAACAACACATGTTCTGAAATCTTCTGAAGTGTAATTTTTGCTTTGACATACCTTAGTATTTGGCTTCAAGGCAGCCTTGAGCAATTGTGGTTTTGTGCAGTCAGCAAAAGACACATCCAGGCCGACTTCAGCTGCGATTCTTTGAAAGTAGCGGTTTGTGCCTTGTGATTTAAAAAAAAAGAAAATCTCTGTTAGTATCACTAAGCCACATAACGCATACATAATCTAGGAAACAAGACAACGTCTCATAGCTCACAGAGTTTGTTTTACACATTTGGCCAAGTTGCAAAGTGGTTTCTCACCTCCGTACACGTCATCCATGCTGACGATTCCATCGCCTGCCTTGAGCATGTGAGTGACCGTCACTGTGGCCGCCAGTCCTGAAGCGAGAGCAAGGCCTGCAGAGGAAAAGGTGTGAGAAGTTGTCCAGAGCAGGAATTATTTTCATCATCGTGTCAGAGAAGCCTAAAATTGGAAGGCTCTGTCATTTTTGAAGCGTTAAACATTTAATAAAACGATGTTAAAACATGTTGTTTAAATTCACTGCTGTGAAATACGGTTGGCTGACGTACAGTACTTTGCTCCGTCCAGTGCAGCTACGGCTTTTTCAAGGCAGTTCCTGGTAGGGTTTCCACTCCGGCTGTACTCGAACCCCTACATCAACACAAGATTTTTACATTTCATCACCACGGTCAGCATTTATAATACTTGCTTGCACCTGTTCAGACAGTAAGGGGATGCAGTTATTTAGTGATCAGTGATGACTTGGTATGTGGCACTTTTGTTAAGTTTAAGTATTAAAAAGCCCCACAGAAGTAGATATTTATTATTATTAATGTTATTATAAAATACTTTGTGTTGGATCATATATATGTTCCAGGTACATACAAGCTGTTGCTTCTGCCTACACCCTTTTTGTCTAAAACATAGTCGGGTTTTTCCTTCTTTTTCCTTGATTTTGAAAAATACGGCTTGCTTTGAAAAGATCAGAAAGATGTAAATGAAATGAAAAAATACGTTTTTAATTTTTGGAGAAAAACAATTACCACTTCTAATGGAGGTTAAGTGGTTTGTGTGAAGAAAGCTGACCTGAGTGCAAAAACTCTAAAAAAAATTAAAAAAAAGTTTAACTGGTAATGCATTACATATGAGGAGTATGCAAAGTACCCATGAAGGTGATGTCCAGGTGAAAATAAGTCCAATTCATCAGCCCTCTGCGACTGTTGATATGAGGTGTTTGTCCTGATATG